ATTGGGTTATGAAGGTCAGACTCTCTCAAGGAGCCCAAACGGAAATTTCTACAATTCGAGTGCTTTTGGTGAAGTCTTTTCAAAGTCCCCCTGTTGGAGCACCGCCAGCTAACCTTGTCAGGTGGCCTTTGGCCCTACGTAGCATGTTTCAAACGGTTAGCGGTCGAGGGGTGCCCACGCTGATTGGTGGATGTGATGCCAACCAGGAGCCTATCCAATCACGTGTGACTAAGTCACGTGTGACTCTAGTGACAGGCGCCCTGGATTGCATTTTAGCTAATCAGATGTGGAGACTGCCCATGACATCAAGGAATGCAGCGACTATAAATTGGCCACCGCGCGCGCGTCAGCAGCCGCTATTGTCTTTCTTCACAAGCTGTGGGGGAGTGGCCTCCGACATGCCTGCGCCTGCCTCTGAGGCTTCTGAGGGATTGCTGGGCACGCAGAAGCCCACGGAAGCACCCCCGAAAGGCCCCTGACCAGAAGACGCCAAGGCGCCCGCGCCGCCGCTGCTCCGACACTTTCACCACCTATTTCCCCCGGGTTCTGAAGAACGTTCACCAGGGCCCGAGCCTGTCGCGGGAGGCCGTGAGCGTCATGGATTCGTTCGTGGAGGACATCTTCCAGCGCATCGCCGAAGAGGCCTCGCGCCTGGCCCGCAAAACCCAGCGCGCCACCATGACCTCCAGAGACATCCAGACGGCCGTGAGGCTGCCCCTGCCCGGGGAGATGGGCAAGCACGCCTTGTCCGAGGCCACCAAGACCGTCCTCCGGTACAGAAGCTGCTCGTGAGCTTCCTCGGCACCACCATGAGCATCGCAACCCAAAGGCTCTTCTCAGAGCCGCCTTACTTGTCACGAAAAGACCCGTGGCTCTAAAAGACGAATCTACTCTCGTGTTTGATCCTGTGTGGCTTTCTGCCGACGTCTAAAGCCCTGTTTCCACGGGCAAAACATTCTCAACTCTACTGTAATATAGAGTGTAGTTTATTCCATGGAAAATCGTGGGTTTTCCTTAACCACGTTGCATTTCATGGCTTTCCTAAACAGTCATTCCCATTACTCTTTTCCCTAGGTCAGTCTTTTGGAGGATATTTTGCTGATGATGACGTTTACCTTTTTCACTCATTCCCTCACGAGTGTATGGTGGAATTTTCCAGAAGTTCATTATGTCTGATACGACAACAGATAAAGTGCAGAAGCAGTTACAAGAATCCATCCGTCTTCTGTCAGGTCGGATAGTAAGGAGATTTTCAAATATCCGAAACAATGTCAATCTCCTCTCTACGTTTTTTTGAAAGGAATATTTATCGTATGAATTCGTAAATTATATTAACATGATCTAATGGTTTTTTAGGTATATTTTAATGCTGTTTTATTAATGCTCGTACTGGACTTGGTCTCTGAATTTAAAAGTGTGGGGAAAAACAATGCACTAAAATGTCGTAATGGATTATTTTTATTAAATTGACTTCTCACGTAATATGATATGTATGAGAACAGCGTGGAAGAATCACTTCAGAAGAAAACATGTGTAATATGCGTAAACATTGGGTTATGTAACAGAAAAATTAGCATGATAGAAATTAAGTGATTTAGCGAAGTGCACTTTTTTCAAACTGGTCCACTTGTTTTTCTGAAAAGGCACATGGCTCAGTAAATAGCCTTCAGCTTTCAAAATTTTGTTTGGGCGTATATGATGATTTCTAGGAACCACAAAGCAGGATCTACTTGCACTTGATTTCATGGTAGAATTTCTAGGTGCATTGTGCAGCTAGCTCACTTAAAAAATGTTTCGTAAGATTTTTCTAATATTCCAGAATAATAAAAAATAATAATCCTGGTGAGGAGACTTATTTGTCCTAAATCCTGTCTCTCTTGATATCAAAGAGAGGTCTGGAGGTAAAATTGCCCCCCCACCCCCGCCCTTAATGATTTCGATTCTTTTTGTAGCTATTTCTGGTATCCAGACCTGCCCACGTTTGTCTCTAGAGCAAGTGGCGTTGCCCTTCCAAAGTCCATATGCCTGAAGCGTTAGAAGGTCAAACCTCAAAACGTCAGAGTTTGGAATAAGGAAAGGCTTATTGATCGAGAAGCTGACAACTGAGAAGATGGGAACCCTAGTGGTACCTCAAATCCATCTTAAGAGAATACAGAGATGGGGCTTTTTCTATGTCAAGGGAAGGAGAAATGGGAGGGGCAAGAGGTAACTGATCACCAAAGATACCTGGGCGCCAGGAGGGGTCCGAGAAGATTGTGCTAGTTGATGTGAGTCCGGTCACGATGTTCCTACAAAACTTTGATAAACGATACATACTTCCCTTATCTCCTGAAGCAGCAAACAGAATTCCTCTAACGATTAGCATGTCTATATGCAAGGCTAAGCAGAAGCTGTCAGCCTGAAGGTCGTAGGAACAAAGCAGGCTTGAACAAGGTAAAGTCATAGAGACCGAGTATTTCACTCTGTTACAGTGGTGCTCTGTCAAAAGTGGAATACTCTGTGTGGGAATCTTTTCTGGCAGAATCTTAACCTTTCTTTTGCTGAGCTCACAAAAAGCTTTGGTTTTTTTTGTAGCTTATCCAGTTTTTGTCTCATTGTTTGGCTGAGAGTGATCTCTTTAAAGGTTTTTACATTTAAATTGAAAGGGGCATTTTACCTTATTATAAATCTTTAAATGAAACCCTTAACAACGATCGTGATAAAATATTGGCCTTTAAAGCAAATCATAATATATTTCAAATATTGAAATCCCACAATATGCTCTCTCTTCAAAGAGCGTGAAGCTAGCAATCAATTTAAAAAGAAAATGATTAGAATATTGTCAACTTCGACAAATTCAACAATATTTTTTTAGAAAAATTACACAGGTAAAAAGCCATTGGGTCAAGACGAAAAACAATAAACGTATTACTATATTAACCTTCACCTGAATATTAACATTCCAGTGCCACAGAAAAGAGAAAAAATGTTTGTTCTTTTAATTGCTGACTAACCTCTTACATTATGCAAGGAGCCAGACACTATGTGCCCTGGATTCATAGCCTTAACTTACAAGATAAAAAACAAACAAACAAACAAACAAAAACAAGCAAGGAATCAAAAAATAACAAGCAGAGGATCCTACCCGTTTTCCCTCCATCTCCAGACTGAATAGCACAGGAAGGCTGTTATTTGATTCAGCCCTGGTCACTCCACCACACTTTGGACCAATAGCTGTATCTCACTGGCTGCCAGTCCCTCATTAGCCAAGTGGAGACTGGCACTTAAACTGCTCCCATTGGGCAATGCCACCACAGTTGAAGGCATAAAGGCATGGAATGGAATTACATTTTAAAAAATGAAATATTTTTTGGCTAGAAAATAATATGTCGGGATAAATCTGAACGAATTAAAATTGAAATTTCCGAGTTTAGTGCACTGAAAAAGTGAAGTCCGTCTTAGAAATTTCATTGATCTATTTTTGTATTATCTTCGTACACCCATTTATGTAAATTTAGATGAGAGTATTATGGGTTGTTAAAAACGTTTAAGAGCATTATGTTGATGTGTAAATTTGCTTCATCGCTTTAGCTATGGCTCTATCTAGAATATTCCACAACACACTCTGAGATAATGAGAATAGGAATAGTAAATAAAATTACAAAAATAATTTAGACTTCACAGGATGCAATAATAGCTGACGTAAATATCTAAAATGGACCGTTTAGAAGAGCCATGAAATGCAACGTGGTTAAAGAAAGCCCACGGTTTTCCATGGAACAAACTACACTCTGCATATTAAAGTAGAACTGGTAATGTTTTGTCCACGGAAACAGTGCTCTAAATGTCAGAGGAACGCCACAGGATCAAACACGAGAGTAGATCCCACTTTTGGAGCCACAGGTCTTTTCGTGACAAGTGAGGTGGCTCTGAAAAGAGCCTTTGGGTTGCGATGCTTAGGTGATGCCGAGGAAGCTCACGTGCGGCTTCTGTACCGGAGGACGGCCTTGTTGGCCTCGGACACGGCGTGCTTGCCAACCTCCCCGGGCAGGAGCAGGCGCACGGCCGTCTGGATCTCTCTGGAGGTCATGGTGGCGCGCTGGGTGGAGAGGGCCAGGCGCGAGGCCTCTTCAGCGATGCGCTCGAAGATGTCCTTCACGAACGAATCCATGACGCTCACGGCCGCCCGCGACAGGCTCAGGCCCTGGTGAACGTTCTTCAGAACCCGGGGGAAATAGGTGGCGAAACTGTCGGAGCAGCGGCGGCGCCGGCGCCTCGGCGTCCTCTGCTCAGGGGCCTTCGTAGGTGCCTCCGTGGGCTCCCCCATGCCCGGCGATCCCTCAGAAGCCTCGGAGGCAGGCCCAGGCATGTCGGAGGCAGGCCCAGGCATGTCGGAGGCAGGCCCAGGCATGCCGGAGGCAGGCGCCGCCACGGCGGGAGCAGGCGTTGCCATGTCAGAGGTAGCTTTCCCGTCGGTTGTGAGGAAAGACAATGGCAGCTGCTGACGGGCGGCAGCCAATTTATAGTCGCTGCGTTCCCGGCTGTCATGGGCAGTCTCCACATCTGATTGGCTAAAATACAATCCAGGGAGCCTATCACTAAATCTCGCCACGTCACACGTGACTGGGTAGGCTCCTGCTTGGCATCACATCCCCACCAATCAGAGTGGGCATCCTTTGACCTCGTAACTGTTTGAAACATGCTACATGGAGGCAAAAGGTCATCTGACAGTGTTAGCTGGCACGATGCTACAAAACGGGAACTTTGAAAAGACTTCGCCAAATGCACTCGAATTGTAGAAATTTCCGGGTTGGCTCCTTGAGAGAGTCTGACCTTCATAACCCAATTCCTGACCGCTAGCAGAATGACCCTGGCCACTTCGGGCCCCTTTCTTCTAATCCAGAATCTACTGTTGTCCTGGGCTAAACCACCACGGTTGAGCAGGAATTCTCTGACATGGCCGGCAGAGTGCTCCAGGAAATCACCGGACCTTGCTGACTAACCAGGAACTCCAGTTTTGATTTAAAAAACAAAACAAAACAAAACAAAACCAAACCCTCAGTTATTTGGGAAAGGGAGAAATAACAAAGCTACAGCCTCCAAACAGAAATGGGAAAACA